GATCGGACGAGAACCGGTGTGCTCAACATGATATGGCCGTAAGCTGAGGGAGAGAGGCCACCGCTCCACCTTAAGGGTATTTTTTATCTTTGTTTTTTGTACACTGGTGGTACATCTACATCACTGAGTTGAGGTGCTGCTTTCTGCTTTGGTGCTCAGCTTTGGTGGCGCTCATCGGTGGAAAGCGACATCGCTGCGTGGCCCGATTGCACTCTCCTCGCTGGCCGCCACCGCCATTCACATTCTCCAGCAGGTGACAGTGGAAAAAGCCCGTGCAGATTCGATTTTCTATCGTCGGTGGGAGGGCTCGACAACGGCCGCCACTCTCCGTCTGGCACTCTCCGTACCAGCCGACCCTGCTGATGCAGTCAGAGTGCCGATGACAGGGCCAGGGAAAAGAAGGTAGTAGTGGTTGTAGTGGCTGAGAGGATGATATCAAAGTGGCTGGCTGGCTGGGGTGAGGCAAAGTTGAAAGTAGAAAAAGTATAAATGTGATGTTCAGTTTGATTTGGTTTGTTGTTNACCCTGCTGATGCAGTCAGAGTGCCGATGACAGGGCCAGGGAAAAGAAGGTAGTAGTGGTTGTAGTGGCTGAGAGGATGATATCAAAGTAGCTGGCTGGCTGGGGTGAGGCAAAGTTGAAAGTAGAAAAAGTATAAATGTGATGTTCAGTTTGATTTGGTTTGTTGTCTTCATTTTTGCTGCTTTTTTTCAATCACAACACTGCCGGTAAATCATCATCATAATCATCGTTATCCCCACTACTACTCGTCGCCTCAATATTTATAGCTTTAACTTGACAACTCAATGGGAAAAGGAGGAGAAGGAGGAAAAAGGAGGAGACTCTGACCATGAACCAGCTAATCTGAAATATCAACAGGCAAAGCTCACAAAGTTGGGGAGAAAAAACCAGCAATATCTCCTCACTGTCGTCCTTCGGAAGAGCTAGGAGGAAACTCGGTAAACATGAGAGAAAACATGATACTACAGCGAGATTGCCGCCTTTCTATGCACCAAAGTACAGGGAAATCATGTACGCTACAACCCCCCTCTCTCTCCCTTTCTCTTATCTTGTCGCCTTTTTACCACATAAAAATCATTGACCACATGACCAGTGATACAACTAAAACAGCGCTAGAACTGCTGATTAAAAGTATGCCAATTGTGTGTGTGTTTGTTTTCTGGAAATCTGACTTTTGTAATGCCCAATTAAAAACTCAAAACAAAGGTTGCAAACTGGTAATATTAAAAACGCTTTTGATTTCGGATCGCTTCTCATGTTCTACTTTTTTCGTGTTTAATTAGATTAGAGGACTCGAGCACTTAATTAGAATGAAGAGGAAAAGAATGTCAAACGGTTACTGAGCTCCAGTGATGATGATGATCAGTTTCAGTGTAGGCTTACTTTTCACTGGCTGATTACGGCTGCCAAACATTCACACTGATTGCCCTTCACTGCAATCACCAGCTGTCCTTCACGAGCGCTTTATCCTGTCTACAAGTTCGGTGTTTGTCCTCTCTCTGATCAGACTTGTTTTGATTTGCACAAGTGTGTGCTAAGCTTGTGTAGCTAATGTTGATCACTCATTTACCGGGAAAAAACTACAGCCCAACACGATGGTCAAAATCCAATTCAGTAAAGGGCATTTCAGTAAAAAAATCGTCAATGAAGAAACAGTTTGGTGAACTTGATGTGGTAAAAATTGTAATGACATAAAAGTTGTAAAAACAAAAATGTAAAATTGCAAATAGTTTAAACATTTAGTCTGCTTACGCTTGCAAACTTGTCAAGTGCAAAGCAGCGAGCACTTTAAACAGTGAGCTCAGTTGGGGTAACATCAGCGACCTTGATGCTTTTTGGCTCTTGGCCAGACAAAGGCGGCGAGTTCTTCTTAGAAGTAGAAACACCAAAAACGGCATTTGGTTCCGATGGAGAGCCAAAAACAACAAGTTGCTGACCAGGTAGGGACAATGGACCTGCTGGTTCTGAAGTGGTGCCATCAGGGCTTGCAATGGAAATAGGCACAGGTTTTGCTTTTGATGACTTTATGGCCACGTTGACTTTTTTGTCGTTGTCGCCACCCAGTTTTGCAGGCTTTTTGGCATCTCTTTTGGCCTTCAAGACTTCACGAGCTTTCACCAAGTTTGCACGTTTGCTGGCAAGAGACTTTTTTGAGACCATAGTTGGTCGAGTCAAAAAGATTTTCAAGAAAAATGAGGAACAAACTCAAAGTTGTGATGTTTCAGTGCACAAGTGTTTGAAAATTTTTAGCAATAAAAAGCAGATCAAATGATGATGTAGTCAATTGTAACAAGCGTTAACGTTTTTATAAATTTTACTCAGTATTATAGACGTTTGAGAAAGTTCCATAACTGTTACAATTTGAGTACAAAATTAATTCTGGAAATTTAAGCGAATCAATTTGCAAAATAATCATTCATTCATTCATGAGAATCCTTTTTTAATTCCTTATCACCGTCTTCATCTTTTGCCTCTTCTTCTTCACCTTCATCATTTTCAGTTTTGTCCTCTACTTCTGACAAATGTCCTGACAGTTGTTTTTCTAGCCACTCTTCGCGATCTTCGGCAATTTCTTTCCACCCTTTAGATTGTTTCACTTGTTTCTCCCTTTTGTCGATGAATTGAGCAATCTTTCTCACGTTAGCCGCGTTGAGAAGATTAGCAAAGTAGAAGTTCTTAGCGGCACTTTCTACGGTGATATCCGCGTAGAGACTGTCGACACAGGCTTGGTACAGTGGTTGGATGTTGTACTGCAAAAGAAGTTTTAATAAAAGTAACACTTTGGTTAAAACACTCAATGTCATACCATATCAGCGGCAACAGCCAACTCGCCGGCAATCGCTTTCCAGCCATCAAACGGCCTGCAGTAAATGTAGGCGAGCATTCCTTCCATTGCTTGGCCAGATATTTCAAAGATTTCAATCGGCTTTTCCACTTGATTTTCCACAAATGGACCGGAAAACATGGCCGCAAAAACTGAAGATCTCAACTTGAGAATCAGTTTATGTGCAGGAAACAGTTGTCCATCTGCCACTGTCTTCAGCGTCACATCAGCAGGAATGTAACTCATGTTGGCTATTTGGCGACAGAGCATTTCGGCATGATTAATTGGCGCTGTTGAGCGGATTGAATTCCACTTATCAACCTTTTCAACAAACGTCATTTCAACTTTAACTTCTTTGGGTGAGTATTGAATATGCTTTATCACTAAAGGAGTATCCACAGTGAGACCTGTTGTGAGAAACATACAAATTGTTGAATGTCATTACAAGTTCTGACAGAGCATACCTTTTTTAAAGTGAGCCTTTTCAAAATTGTCTTTAAAATTAACACGAAACATTTCAACAAAACTCGACATTTCAGTTGAATTTTGGTGGAGGTTAAGGGCAAGTTCTGTACATTCATCGCAATTTCGGCATTCTTTTAAAGTGAGATAAAAAAGCGTCTTTTTAGATCCAAATGTGCCGCTGATAGCACAATCGTTTTCATCTTGATCGATAATATTCCATGTATAATTAGTAGAGATTACTTCAGATTGAAATTCAAAAGCCGAAGACTCCATTTTGGTTTGAGCATTTTGTGAAGAATCCGATTGTACTACTTTCAAGTGCTGTTTGTCGTTTTCCTGGCTTTCCATTTTGATCTTCGCTTGACAGTAAGCAATAAAAGTTCTCAGCTAGGGAAAAAAGATGCATTAGATAGTGAGTCAGCAAAAAACGTGCTTTCACAATGTGACAATGTCAAAGACGGCGCTCTAGTGGTCAACACTGAAACTAAAACGCCTTTTGCAAAAATTACGAACTTAGACCAGGGTTTTATTACAACACATTTTNAAAGCCGAAGACTCCATTTTGGTTTGAGCATTTTGTGAAGAATCCGATTGCAATGCTTTCAAGTGCTGTTTGTCGTTTTCATGGCTTTCCATCTTGATCTTCGCTTGAGAGTAAGCAATAAAAGTTCTCAGCTAGGAAAAAAGTTGTTTTAGATAGTGAGTCAGCAAAAAACGTGCTTTCACAATGTGTCAATGTCAAAGACGGCGCTCTAGTGGTCAACACAGAAACTAAAACGCCTTTTTTAGAGATTACAAACTTAGACCGGAATTTAATTACAACACATCACAAGAAGAGACAATCACAAGAATAAAAACCGAATACTCGTGTTTAAATTTCATATAAACAGAATAACACTTTAAAATCCGTTAATCAGAACTTTGCTCTTGACCGTTTTCGCCCTCTTCCTCGGGCAGAAGCTCTGACAGTTTCTTTTCTAGCCAGTCCCTGCGTTCTTCGGTGATTTCTTTCCAGCTTTCGGTTTTCTCTATCTTTTTCTTCTTATTGACAATGAATCGAGCAATATTTAGCTTTTCGCTAGTCAGATTGAGAAGATCAGCATAGTAGAAGTTATTGACAGCATTATTTATGGTGATTTTGGACCACAGAATGCCAGTGCACAGTTTATACAACGGCTGAATGTTGTACTGCAAATAAAGTTATTTAGTAATAGAAAGATAAACCGGAACATTCTTACCATGTCAGCAGCCACAGCCAGTTCACCGGCAATCTCTTTCCAGCCATCAAACGATCGGCAGTAAATGTAAGCAAGCATAGCCTCCATCACCTGGCCGGAAAGTTCAAAAATTTCGATTGGTTTTTCTGCTTGATTTTCCACAAAGTCACCAGAAAACATGGCTGCAAAAACAGATGATCGCAACTTGAGCACAAACTTGTGGGCTGGAAACAGTCGTTCATCAGTCATTGTCTTCAGCGTCACATCAGCTGGGATAGAAGCCATTGCGTTGGCCATTTGTTGACAGAGCACTTCGGCATTATTCACCATAGGCGAAAAATGACAGCCCAAGTTCCAGTTGTCTACTGATTCTTTGAAAGTAATTTCGACGCTTATTTTAAGGTCATATGAATCCTCTTTAAATTCGTGTCCTTTTAGAAACTCGATTGGAGAATTAAAGGTGAGAACTATCGTGCAAATGAAAAATTAAAAGTCGATTTTAGAAGCTCAGTTTTTGGACATACCTTTGTTATCGCAGTTGGAAACATAAGGTTTCTCATTAGATTTAGCAAACAATGAATAGATAAAAACTTTTCTTTTGACCGAACTTTTGGCAATGTTAAGATTGAATATCCAAATCGGATTATCAATGTTGCGGTGGACCACTACATCAGCTTCATCATCGGTTCCATCATTGAAGAATTCTCCAGAAAGGTAAAATTGAGTCTTTTTGGTGCCAAATACGGGGCTATAACATTCATTAATATCTTCATCTTTTAGATAAACATTATCCCATTTGCAAACAACTGTAGTAGCTTCTTGTTTACCATCGAAAGCAGACGGCTTCATGTTCTGTTCCTCCATCTTGAATAGTGTTCTCTTGACAATGAAAGATCAAAGTGAAGCTGATCAGAGAGTTAGAGATGTGTTGCTCTGGGGAAAAACACTGTTTGCAGAATGTAAACTGGTGTAGAGTCTACACTGTAGACTCATTCAAAGTGGCGAGGCCTTTGCCAGTGCGCATCGATTTGCTCAGTGTCACTGATAAGCACGCATTTTTTGAAGTGGTCCCGTTATCAGTGAACGGTCGCTTTTGGCTTTTGTAAATCTTTTTTTCGTAAATGGGGGATGAAAACCTGATTTTATTTAGCAAAATTTTGAGACAATCAACGATTTTTTAATTCTGACAAAACAAATTTACGACACTTTAAAATCAAGAAATCAATAAACCAGAAATTACTTTTTCTTTTTCTTCTTTGGCTTCTTCATCTTTGTCTTTTTCGTTTTTGTCTTTTTCGTCTTTGTCTTTTTCGCCTTTGTTTTTTTCGTCTTTGTTTTTGTCTTCATTTTGTGGTATTAGTTCTGATAGTTGCTTTTCTAGCCAGTCTCTGCGTTCTTCAGTAATTTCTTTCCAGCTTTCGGTTTTCTCTATCTTTTCCTTCCTTTTGACAATGAATCGAGCAATATTGAGCTTTTCTCTAGTCAGATTGAGAAGATCAGCATAGCAGAAATTATTAACAGCGGTGTTTACGGTGATTTTGAACCCCAGAAAGCCAGTGCACAGTTTATACAGTGGTTCGATGTCGTACTGCAAATAAAGTTATTAAGTAATAAAAAATTAAATCCAATCTTAACATTCTTACCATGTCAGCAGCCATAGCCAACTCACCGGCAATCTCTTTCCAGCCATCAAACGATCGGCAGTAAATGTAGGCAAGCATAGCCTCCATCACCTGGCCGGAAATTTCAAAGATCTTGATCGGTTTTTTCGTTTGATTTTCTACAAATTCACCAGAAAACATGGCAGCAAAAACCGAAGATCGCAACTTGAGAATCAGTTTATGTGCGGGAAATAGACGTTCATCAGTCATTGTCTTCAGTGTCACATCAGCTGGGATAGAAACCATGGCGTTGGCCAGTTGTTGACAGAGCACTTCGGCATTATTTACCATAGGCGAAAAATTACAGCCCAAATTCCAGCTATCCTCTGATTCTCTGAAAGTAATTCGGACGCGGATACTGAGAATTATATCATCCAATTCATAAATTTCCATAAGCTCAAAAGGAGTACCAGTAGTCAGAACTGTTTTGCAAACAGAGATGCGTAAAATTATTAAGAATTAAACGTGTGAAATCAGTTTTTGAACATACCTTTATTTTTGTACTTTGACTTTCCATTATTTTCAGAACATTCAGTTTGTATTGAATAGATAAAAACTTTCTTTTTGATTGATTTTTTGTCCATTTTAAGACAAATTTTTAAAGAAAAGTTTTCTAAAACATTGTCCGCATCTTTTTTAAAACTAAAATCTTCATCCATATCTTTCAATTCTGCAGTAAGGTAAAAAAGAGTCTTCGCAGTGCCAAATGTGGAGCTGCGAACAGCTGAATCAATTAAACCATCTTCGTCTATTAAACAAAGTTCAATCCACTCGAAAACAACTGTAGTAGCTTCTTGTTTACCATCAAAGGCAGACTGCTTTATGATCTGGTCGCTCATCGGTTCTTTCATCTTGAATAGCTTTCTTGAAAATGCGAAATCAAAGTGAATCTGATCAGAAAGTTGGAGATATTGTCGCTCTGGTGAAAAACACTACTTGTCGGTAGAAAACAGGCAGTCCTTCTATTGCATCATCTACATTTCCCCGAAAAGACAAGTTAACGAAATTATGATCAACACACACTTTCAACTTTTGTGTTTGATAACTTGTCTTTTCGGGGAAATAGATATGATGCAATAGCAGAACTGCCTGTAAAAAGAAACTGAAAAAATCTTTTTTGAATTAGTCCCGTCCTCTGTGAACGGCGCCCTGTGACTTTCGTAAACTTTTTTTGCAAAGGCGACTGAAGATTTTTCTGGCTGCATTGCCGATTTGCTGCTTTTCTCTTGTTTACTTCTTCCTGGACTTCTCTTTCCTCGCATTCTTCCTTCCTTCACCACCACCAAAGGACAACCACGACAATGTCAACGAGCATCCCGAAGGTGCACGCCGAGGAGGCCGAAGAGGAGGAGGAGCTGGTGGACCCACAGGAGGTGCTGCGCAGCGAGTGCACCACCGCTCACTGTCAGGCGCTGAAGAGCAAACTGGACGCCTGCAATGACCGCGTCAACTCAAAGTCCGCCACCACGGAGAGCTGCTTCGAGGAGGTGGTGGACTTCATGGAGTGCGTCGACCACTGCGTCGCTCCGAAGCTCTTTGCCAAGCTCAAGTGAGCCGTCGCCGCTTAGGTTAGTAAAAAATGAACTGTAAACACCACCACAAGCAAAGTAAGCGTCTCACGTGTACCAGAGCTGAACCGGCTAACAAGACTTTTCTTGATTTATATCACCAACAGCTTCTGGATTCTAAATTGCAATTTGTAGATACCTTTATTAATTTTACTGTGTGACAAATTTTCACTCTGTGCTGAAATAAATTCACCGTTGTAAGCACACTCTTGCTTTTGTTGTTGTTGTTGTTGATAGACTCGAAAGAACGCAAAAATGAAAGATCTGCCAGGCAAGTGACTTGTTTTCTGGATCTGTTTTATTTTAATTTAATTTTTGTCCTTCGTTCACAACAGTTTCCCTACCACTATCTACCGACGACCATCTGACTGAGAATGGTCGTGCCAAAGGACACCAGCACGTAGATCATGAGCGGCAGCGTGGAGAGGCGTTTGTAGTTCTCCTTGCGCTGCTCCTGCTTCTCCACCTTCACCCACTTCAGACTGCGCTCCACCGCCTTCCGCCAGGTGCTGATGCGACTCAGGCGGAGGTCCTCCTCCAGGGACGGCTCAAAGACGTCCTGCGACTGCTCGAAGATTCGAGGCTGCAGACTGGGGCGCTTGCAGCCGCCGCCTTCCTCGTTTGCCGTTCCTCCATTGGTCAGCGTAAGACCTCGGGTGAGCTGCTCTAGCAGACCAGAAGAGGCAGTTGTTCCATTGGCGGAGGAAACCGTGGCTGTTCCATTTAGAACATTACCGTTTTTGTCCATTCCACCACCACCAACACCACCCTCTTCCTGGCCGTAGAAGAGCTCATGCAGGTCCACCTCTCCCAAAAGGGACTGTCCGCCGGCCGCCGCCGCCGCCGCGCCCATGTAGTCCTCAATGTGCGCCTCCAGCTCTGGCCAGAGGCGGCGAGTGTAGCCGGCGACGATGGCGGCCCCGAGCGCCGTCGCCTCCGTCGTCTGCGGGCGGATGATGCGACTGCCGGAGATGTCGGCGAGAAACTGACAGAGCAGGTCATTGCAGGCCATGCCGCCGTCCACGCGAATGCCCACCGGCGCCCCGCCCGGGCTGGGCTGCATCATGGAGAGGACGTCATTGGCCTGGTAGGCGACGCCCTCCAACGCCGCGCGCACCACATGGGAGCGCGTCGTGGCGGAGGTGAGGCCGATGATGGTGCCGGTGGCGTTGGCGTCCCAGTGCGGCGCAAAGAGGCCCTGCAGCGCCGGCACGAAGAAGACGCCGCCGGAGCTGCTCTCCTGCAGGGCAATCGGCTCGATGCTGCGGTAGTCCTCCACCAGCTTCAGCTCATTGCACAGCCAGCTGATGACGGCGCCGGCGGTGGCCACGCTGCCTTCCACCGCGTAGCAGGCCGGCCGACCGCCGAATTGGTAGGCGACGGTGATGATCAGCTGCTTCCTTGCTTCGGCGGGCACCGCCTTGAGCGCCCCGTGCAGCGGCCCCGGGCCGATGTTCTGTATGAGAAAGCAGCCCGTGCCGTAGGTGACCTTCGCCTGGCCAATGCCGAAGCACTGCTGGCCGACGAGGGCGGCGTTCTGGTCGCCGATGAGGGCGGTCAGCGGGAGGCCCGCCAGGGCGCCCACGCTGATGGTCCCGTAGTGGTGGGCGGAGGGGTGAATGGCGGGCAGAACGGAGAGGGGAATGTCAAAGAAGCGGCACAGCTCTCCGTCCCACTGCAGCGTCTCGATGTCCATCAGCAGCGTCCTGCTGGCGTTGGTCACGTCGGTGGCGTGCACCAGGCCGCCGGTCAGCTTCCAGAGGAGCCACACCTCGACGGTGCCGAAGAGCAGACGGCCCGCTTTGAGGGCTTCTTTCACCGCGGGCACGTGCTTCAGCAGCCACTTGAGCTTGAAGGCGGTGAAGTAGGTGGAGAGCGGCAGGCCGGTCTTCTCCTTCAGCCAGTTGATGTCACGCCCGGGAATGTTGTCCAGGACGGAGTCGACGATCTCCGCGGTGCGGTTGTCGAACCAGAGGATGCAGTTGTAGAGGGGTTCGCCTGGGGGGGAGGGGAAAACAGAGGTATTAACAAAGGGATTGTTTTATCGAAAGGGAAGAAACACATAGTGCTCAGTCTGATTGATTGATTGAGTGATCACCACCACAGGTGGTCTGTTTCCCATCACTACCACAAACCTGTCACCCGGTCCCAGACGACGGCCGACTCTCGCTGGTTGGCCAGTCCGATGCACTGTATGGCTCGGAGTGGGTCGATCTCCATCTCCACCAGCTTCTGCATCACCACACTGGTCGTCTCGAGGACCGAGTCAAAGAGCTCCTGCGGTCGCTGCTCCGCCCAGCCGTCGTTTGGGTAGCTCCGCTGAACGGGCACCTGGTGGTAGGTGATCATGCTGCCATCGACGGCGGAGAAGACGATGAACCGGGTGGAGGTGGTGCCCTGGTCGATGGCGCCCACCAGTGGGCCGATGTCGCGCATTCTGTTGAATGATGATAATGATGGTGATTACCAGAAAATGCTGTTTTGTTCGAAGAAGATCACAAAGAGTGGGAAAAGTGGTGTGTTTTAGGTCACTGTGACGACGTTCTTTTCCACTGAGTCCTGCACTGAATGGCCGTTTTTGAGGAAATTGCTGTGAGAAAAGAAGAAAGTTTGGTTGATTGTGTTTGGTTGATGG